TTCAATTAATGCAATAAAAAAACTATTACTTTTTCCTACCACTTATTTGTGCGAAAAAGGATTTTCTACCATGGCCAATATTAAAACAAAACAAAGAAACAGATTAGATGTCACACATGACATGCACATCAGTTTATCTGAAATTGTACCCCAATGGGAAATTTTATGCAACAGCATCCAGAATCAAAGTTCACACTAAATTCCGCAATAAATATTCTATTATACTAATTTTTGTATTTTTTTATAATTTATTTTATTTATTTATTAAGTTATTATTGTTCAGTATGTTGTATTTTAATAAAAATCTTATTTATTTACAGTTTACTTTTTTTTTTTTAGCTAGGGGTCGCGTACCCCATAAAGATTAAATTTATGGGCCGCCATTGCAAAAAGGTTGGGAAACGCTGCTCTAGTGCACCTGTAGAAAGGTTATTTAGTACTGGGGGGAATGTAATGACATCAAAACGTCACAGACGAGTGATGTTATGTTTGAAAACTTAATTTTATTAAAACAAAATAAGATGTTTTGAAGTACAATAAAATGTACATATAGTTTTCTTTTTTATTTAGATAAATATATATTTACCTACAGTTTTTTTTAAATTTTTATTTGATGTTATACCTAACAAGGATACAGTTGTTTTTTTTTTATTCAATAAAGTTTTAAAAATGTATTAAATTAAAATATGAATTATTTATTAATCATGTACCTACCTATTTACTGTTTTTGTTTCAATATTTGAACTGTCTCGGCTAAATATATTAGGAATTACAATTATAATTTTCAATTCGATCTAAATTTAAGTCTTCAATCAAAAAGATTTTTTTAATTATTAAAAAAACTAAGAAGGTAGCTGACTTTTCTAAGGTTACCTGGTCCCGTCTCTCGGTTGTGTGCATAGTGCCCTGGTAAATTCACTATTCGCTGAATTTTATCACTTATCAAAATGTAACTCAAATAACATGCGGATCATGGTTGAAACTTGGAATCATAGAGTAACTCTATGGTTGAAATATACAGGTTATTGCATATCAACTCGGATTGTTATCATCAGTAACCAAACGTGTCAGTAACAAAATAAAAGTAAAGGGATATCACAAATATCAATTATTCTGATCAAAAATACGCTGACAAAACTAACAAATTCAAAATTCTGCGCATACATACTTGATTATTATTGGCTCCCTTTACACTGCCATTTTTGTTTTTATCATAAAATATGTGCAATATCCTTGTATATTTTAAAAATGTGTCAGATATTAAAAATTAATTCAAATACTTTATAAATTGTATATGCTGTAAAGTCTAAATTATGTTTATTTTTTGGTTGAGTCGTATACGTTTATGGGTTTTTTATTTTTATATTAACTGCAGTAACGATTCATAAAAAAAAATTAAATGAATGCGTTCGTTTGAAAAAACACGAACGTGAACGAGTTCATTTTTTAAGTGAACGTTCCGAACACTGTGCATAGGTATGGTATTGCTTTTTTATTGAATTGTTAAAAGAATATCCACTTTTATGTTCTTAAATAATTTAAAACAGTATACCAGTTGATAAAGGTAGTAAAACATTTCAATTATGGTAAAACAATTATTTATTGCTCGCTAAACATTTGAATGCTTTTTTTAAAAATAATATCTATTATTCTAGACTGATATTTATTAATTTGTTATTTGTGTGACTGAATGGGTGATAGATCTGCTTATAAATAGTTTGCATGATATTCTTTACAGTTTAATATGAAAATTACATATGGTGAATTGAAATTTATATATTTTTGTAGATAAAATGTATCTACAAAAATATATAAATGATACTGATACTGTAATAATGATACTGAGAAGTTTGAGTTCTTGTATAATTCGTCGCTTCCAAGTCCCGATTATAAGTATCCTGCTAGTGGTCCAAGAAATTTGAAGTTTCAAAATAAATGGTTTTATAACTGGAAATGGTTATCTTATTCAGAGTCTCTAGATGGAGCCTTTTGTGTATATTGTGTATTATTTGGGACTGATGAAGTAAAATATCAAAAGCTTGGAAAATTGGTTTGTGAAAAATAGAATAGTTGGAATTGTGCAGTTGAGAAGTTTAATGAACATCAAAGTCTGGGATATCATTTTACTGCTATGGAGAAAGCTAATGGGTTTTGAAATATTATATTTCTTTAAAAAACAAGATTCTGTTGCTGTTCAAATTGACACAAAGTTAAAACTGGAGATTGAAGAAAATAGATTATTTATCCAACCAATAATTGAAACTATTTTAGTATGGGGACGTCAAGAACTAGCACTGCGAGGTCATAAAGAATGGTGCTATTCAATTTGAAACTACATTCCCTTCAGAAATTGCTTACTTTCTTACTTAGGTATCGTGTAAATGGAGAAGATCAGATATTTCGACAGCGCTTACAAAATTGTCCACGAAATGCTACATACACGAGTTCAGGAATTCAAAATCAAATAATTGATGTTATTGGTTCTATCATTATTAAGAAACTTGTAAATAAAATTAACCAAGCAAAATGTTTTACTGTTTTAGCTGATAAAACATGTGACATTTTTGGGATTGAACAATTCAGTCTTTGTGTTCGATATTATGATAGTGATACTGATACCAATAAGATGAGAGACGATTTTCTCAAATTTGTGCCTGTTGTTGATGTTACATTCAATGGTTTGGCATAATTTTTGATAGACAGCTTAAAAAATATTGGTCTAGACTTCATTTTTTTACGTGGGCAAGGTTATGATGGACCCTGCGCTATGAGCAGCCATTTTAATGGCTTACAAGCAGTTGTAAGGCGGTCATATCAATTATCCATTATACTCTAATTGTAGTTCACATTCATTGAATTTAGCAATATCGGATGCTTGTAACATAAAATCAATCCGGAACTCCACAGGTACATTACAGGCTATTTATGTATTTTTTAAAACGCCTAAAGACAAATTGTATTGAGATAAACTATTGACAATATTGCGCCAGAGAACAAAAAAAAAAAACTAAAAGATTTATGTCTCACTAGATGGGTGGAACGACACGAATCAGGGATGGTGTTTTTAGAACTATTTGACTCTGTTGTTGAAGTTTTAGAAGAAATTTCCAATTGGATAGATAGAGAAACGTCATCAAAAAGTAATAATTTGTTGTGTTCCATAAAAAATGTAGTTTTAATTAACCGTTCATATTCTCGCAAAAGCACTTTCAATTAGCTTGCCCTTAAGACGTCAGTTACAAACAGAAAATTTGGACTTGGTTAAGGCTATGGATTTAGCTGAAGAAGTATCGCAAGCAGTAATGGAGTTAAGAAGAAAAAATGAAGCAGAGTTTAAAGAAATTTATACAAAAGTAAACAGAAAATGTGAAACCTTGGGAGTTGCAATCACCATACCTAGACTTACAAAGAATCAAAAACATAGATCAAACTTCACCACCAACTCCAGTGAAGAATATTTTAGGTTATCTATATACATTCCATTTTTGGACAGTTTTTCAAACCAACTAAGAGAAAGATTTTTAGCTCATAAATCACTTGTTAAGAATTGTTCTTGTTTACTGAGTGTTCAAGATGATGATGTAGAAAATTTTGTTGAACTTATAAAAATATATGCAGAGGATATTGTAGTTGATGAAAAAACTGCAAACGGTGAATTTTGGGTTTGGAGCAGCAGATTAAAAAGTCCACTCCGAAACATGTAATAGATGCTTTGCATAACTGTAATTCTATTATTTTTCCTACGATTCACATGTTTTGGGTTATCTTAGCAACATTTCCTGTCACTACATCTACGAGTGAACGTTCCTTTTCAACTCTCCCTAGACTTAAAACTTATTTAAGAAATACCGTTGGAGAAAACAGGCTGAAGTGTCTAGCTTTAATGAATATTCATAGAGATAAACCTATATATATCTACGGCAGAGGTTATTGATGAACTTGCACTCCAATCCGCCACTTAAAATTCACTTTCTTCTTCTTGGGTATTATCGGCCACTAGGACCATCCCGCCAAACAACCAATCCTCCATGACTCTCTGTCAGCTGCTTTTGTTTTCCAATCTGGGCCACCGTTCAGCGATTCCACGTCTTTCTTTATTAAATCTTCCCATCTTAAACGGGGTCGTCCAAGGGGCCTTTTCCCTTTTGGGTTCTCTGTCAATACTACGTGTAGTAGTGGGTTCTGACTACGCCATGCGTGACCCGCCCATTGTAATCTCCTACTCTGGATTATGTTTAATATGTTTGGCTTCTGAAAGAGTTCTTCTAGTTCTTTGTTTTTCCTTATTCTCCATCCCTCAGTTTCCTCGTCTTTTACTGGGCCAAAGATCTTTCTTAGGATTTTTCTTTCCAAAATAATCAGTTTGTTTTCCTCCGTTTTCCTCAATGTCCATGTTTCTGCTCCGTATGTAATTATGGGACGTAACAGTGTAATATATAATTGTAACTTTATATCTCTCGACAGGGATTGGGACCCTAGTACCCTTATGAGTCCGTAAAGACATTTGTTTCCCGATTGGATTCTTGCTGCCACTTCCTTATCAGTTTCATTTTTTTCGGTCAAAACAGAACCTAGATATTTAAATTGTTTGACTCGGTTGAAATCATGGTTGCCAACTCTTAAGGAAGGGTACATTCTGGTACTATCTTTTCTTCCCACCACCATGTATTCTGTTTTGTCTTCGTTTATTTGTAATCCAACCTTCTTAGCTGCCTCCTCCAAACGACCGCATAATGATCTTAATCCATCGTGTGATTTATCCATGAGGACCAAATCGTCTGCATAAGCCAATAATGCCACGGAGGAATCTTTTAGTGGCATCCCCTCCTGGGGTCCAATATTAGTTTCCCTGATAACCTTTTATAATACTAGATTGAAAAGAACAGGTGAGATTGAGTCCCCCTGTCTTAGTCCTGAATTCACACTTATTAGGTCGGTTTCCGCTTCTCCTACTCTTATTTTAATGAACGTTTCCATAATACATGATTCGATTAACTTAACTAATTTTTGTGGGAAGTTATACTCCCTAAGAATATTATCAAGCTTTTGCGATGAATACTATCGTATGCCTTCTTGAAGTCGATAAAGAGCACGTGCATTTCCTTGTCGAATTCCCAGGTCTTTTGGAAAAGTTGTCGGAGAATAAATATTTGGTCTACCGTAGATCTTCCTGGTCTAAAGCCTCCTTGATAATCTCCAATGATTTGCTCCGATTTTGTTCTTATCCTTGACAAGATACAGTTCGTGAAAACTTTATACGCAACACTTAGTAGGGCAATTCCGCGATAATTATTGCAATCTTGTTTATCCCCTTTCTTATGAATTGGGCATACTAAGGCTATTTTCCAATCTTCCGGAACTTTTTCGGATAACCATATTCGGTGGATCAATTTCCACAACCTGAACGTCATTTCTTCTCCTCCTTTTTTGAGAAGTTCTGCATGAATTTGATCCTCGCCAGGTGACTTATGATTTTTTAATATGTTAATTTGGAATGTTATCTCGTCCAATGAAGGTTCTGGGCATTCTTGTTCTTCTTCAGCTACTAAGTTAAGGCTATAGACTTCATCAGGTGCTTCACAGTTAAGGAGAGTATCAAAATAATCTCCCCACTTTTTGGCTAATTCTTCATTCGTGGTTATCAACGACCCATTGTCATCTTTTAGGAATCTTTCCTTCTTCTTGTATCCACCAGTTAGATAATTTATGCGTTTATACATATCTCTAGCCCTATGTGCTTTGTAGTCTAGTTCAGCATTAACCATTATATTTCGAACATATTTCCGCTTTTCACCTCTTAGGATGTTGCTTGTTTCCCTTAGACGAGTTTTGTACCTTGTGAATAGTTCTTCGTTTCTCTAAAATTCACCTAGGTTCTCAATTTATAATATGTACCATATTATGATTATTTATTTTTTGTGATTAATAAAATAAAAGTTATTATTTTAGTTATACCTAGTATGAAAGTTTTAGACGACTTGCAAATAGTGTACTATATGGTACTTGTTTATGTTATACGGAGGGTGTGAGGGGCATAGCCCCCCACCTACCAAACGTCTATTAAATTTAAAAATAGCCCAGTAAAATGAATCCTGGATACGCCACTAGGTGTGAGCAGCGATCACTTCCCTCCATACGTTCATCGGAACTGTTCCATTAAGGTTTCCCTATAAAATAAGTTATTTTTTATGATATATTATGTAAACTATTAAAACATACCACATGTCGTGCCCTGACTATTTGTAACCTTTCTTCTTCACTGTTCTGAAATCCTGACACATCGAACAAAACTAATACATTTGGAACTCGAAATTCCACTGTTCAAAGGTTTGTTCGGTAGCCCGACATCACTGTGAAATTAGAAGGTCCCGTTCAGGAAGATTTGTTAACGACAGTTCTATTAGACTTTGTTCAATATCGAGCAATATTGGTACTTCATTACCCATGTATAAACTATTAAAGAAAAATAATTTTAAATATAAAATAATTAATATTGTAAAATTGAGTAAGGATTTGTGTTACTGATCCTCGCCTAATTCATCGACTTCCGATTCCACGCTGTCCCATTCTATATCAATTTTGGCGGTGGTGGCGGTGGGAATCGCTGCGGTTTCGTCGGATGTAATATCCGGTGAAAAGGTTTCAGACATTACATTTCAGGGCTCTATGCAATAGATATTGAGTGTTCTCAATTAGCGTTTACATACTGTATTCGGTACCCAAATCCACTACCCATAACTCATGTGTCATAACAGTCATGACTGCCGGGGTGGTATTGAATGTAAAACTTGATATATAAAAAAATAACGAAGGGTGACATTACGGAGGGGAGTAGGGGTCTGACTTTACACTTATATACACTTATCGATACCAAATAATATGCCAGTATTTTATAGTGGTTATAATTTCAAAATACAAGAATAATTATTGACTACGTTGTCATCTTGTTTTATAATCTTATTGTTTTAAATTATTAGCGGATCGTTGAATGTAATGTTATTAAAGTGTATATTTTTCGGTGTCCAATAATACTTTTTGAAGGAGAAAAAATTAAGCAATTTTCAACATCGAGAGTTATTTCCGGTAGTAAATTGGATCTAGTTGGTACTTTCGAAGGTGCTGTAAATAATAATATCTCAGTACTTTATTTTCAAGGTAATCGGAAAACAAACAAGAGGACAGAATAAAGTGAGAATTGAGTGCAATTCGAATAATTTGGTTTAGGGAAAGGCTGCATTAAACTTCTTGAACTGGTTAGATAATTCAACCTGTCTCCAATGGTAGGCGTTAAGCGAATCAACGGAGAGATCAGAATTTACCAAATCATACTACTCCCACAACAGTAATAATAATAAAAAAAATGTATAGATGAAACAAGAAATTTAATTTAAAATATCGATTCCAGATAATAAACATGAAACTATCAAAAGGCGCGGTAGTTGATACGTTTCCGTTGCTCAGCGCACAGATCGCCATCGATGCGTAACGTGTTACGCTTGTAGGTCAGCTGCACGTCGATACGGGCGGACGACTGTTTGAGCCGTCGCTGACACACGATCGTATCGACGATCATTTTTTGCAGACTCAGCACATTGTTTTCTAATTCAGCCATCTCTTCGTGCAGCTTCACTTCCAACTCGTCTCTGCACAGTTCGATGCCCTCCCTACGCGTACGGTTCAACAGCCGAGTATGCACTAAAGCTATATACGCCTCTTTATCATCCACGGCGATTTTAAGTTTTTCGATTGTTCCTTGAACTTCTTCTGCGTTCTTGATAGTCTAATAATTAGATCAATTTTACACCGAAAATGTTGTGAAATTAATCCCCATTTACACAAATCACGGGGATACAATATTGGAACTGTATATTCGATTACCTATTTCACTTGTTAAATTTATTTTCTTACCGAATTATTTTTGTGATAGAGAGATAACTTATCAAAGAGAAAATTACTCTTTTAATCAAAGCTCAATAATTTAAGTATATTTAATATATATACTTTACCAGAAAATATACGTTTTTGAATTTTTTTTACTTACTCACTCACTTACTATATTTTAGTTTGCTGGAAACTAGTGATACAGGGTTAGTACAAACTCATACTTTTTTATGAGTTTTACATGGTAAATTGAGGTATATTTTAAACTGAAATAGTCTGAAAGAGTATAGTGTGAGAGTGTACCACTGAGTCTTCTAATGTGCTGTTAAAAAATTAGTTATGGTACTTTTTTGTGGGGTGTGAAAATCTACGTAGGAAAAAACATTCGTTTTTAATTCAAATCGTGATAACAAGTGTGGTGTACAGGCAGTATTCACATTGTATCACAATATAAACGATTATATCTGTGTAGAGATAATGAATTCCTTACTTTCCAAGTCCTTACCACGCACTCGCCAGGAAAAACACCAATTCCTAGTACATAATCAATGAAATACATTATTCAAACGCGCCTAATCCCTTCTGTTTATGCTTAACTGCCTGACAAAAAGAGGAAACCTATATTACGGTGTTATAATATTATTTAAAAATACATTGAGCCTTAGATTCGTCAGCTTACCCAGGTCTCCCTGAAGCATGATCAAATTTATCTTCATTTGCAATAGTTAATAAATAATGTTATTATAGACCAATAATTGTGAATAGTCACCTTCACAACTCTGATAAGTATAGAAATCATTTATAAGAAACTATGTTGTCAAAATATTAAGTTATTGCACATGCGTGAAAAGGACTTGTAACATTCGAAATTATCCAGATGCAGATACAATTGTCAATTATGTCTATGGAAATTGGAAAGAAATAAAATTTCTATTTTGGCCTGAACTTGAAACTGACCAATAAACTCTGATTATGCCTTCGTATTTATAATTAAATATAAAATAAAACGACCCCCTAATGCTTATACCTAAATTAAAATACATTGAACTTTGCATTGCAACAATGTTATAAACATTTCACACATACTTCATCTCTTTGTTTGCTTAATTTTTCAATCACTGCTACATATTCTTGCACCCGTGATTTAAATGCTTGTTCGACTTCGTCTGATTGACACACCAAGTCATTAATAATTTTACTTAGACACTTGTCAAAATATGCGCGAATAGGTCGACCGTCTATTAGCACTTTACTGGCCGCCAATATAATGTCCGTGGTGAATTGATCCCATTTTGTGAACGAAATCTCTCTGTATTGAAACAATTTATGTAATTATAATATAATTATGTGCCAATTGCATACATATAAGTTGGCGAGGGTGGATAGTGTCTTGTGTGTAAAAAATCCAAACATATTTTAATTTATTGTATCCCTTCATTAGGTGTACTCCAGTCTCCAAGCCTCAATATACATGCAATTACAAGTGCAACCACACTTCACAAAAATGCTCATAATGATAATAAACTGAAAGTTGAACAATTTTAGAATAAAAATATATATTTTACATATTATAAAGTTAAATTTATAGTATCCATATTAATAAATATAAAATTTAAAGTAAAATAAATAAAAAAAACTAATCGTAGTGTCTCCATGTTTCTATTTACTATACTCTTTTTCAAATAAGAATAAGCCGCTCGGCCCACGAAAACTCGTTTTCTTCACGCATTCCGGTCAACGGTGGGAGCGTATACACGGCGGCCAGCACCACCGCCGACGATCGACGACGGCAGCGATGACTGCCGACCAATCACAGAACGCATAGTCATCGCCTGGGGGGTCGGCACTGCTCGGCGGCTCAGTCTGCATGCGCGAAGCGGTTCAATCTTATTTAAAAAAAGAGTACGGGAACCCGGGGAAGAATTAGATACTTAATGCTTAACATCGATTTTCCAGTATTCTACTTAATTTAAAGCTCCCAAAATAAATGTTTAACAGTATAAATATCAATTCACTTCAATGATCAAACGAATAACTCAAATATATTTTACTTTATTATTAATAATACAAAAAAAATAATTTGCCCCATTCTGCCCCTACCTCGGGGTAGAATGGTGTATACATTTTAATATTTTAACATAATATTTTTTGAACAGAAATACTTATTTTTATTCATTTACTTTTTTTTTGAACAATATTTACATGTATGGGTTGCTTCATCGTCGCTCTAAACTCCTGCACAAGAGTTGTGGGACCACTTCCTACATTCTAGATAACTAATCCATCCTTCATTGGACTTCGAATATAGTTTTTTAGAACACAGACACTTGGCGTCCGGATCATCTTCACTTGAAGTTGAATCTTCTTTCTCTCTTTGAACTTTTCTTTTCTTTTTTGATGTAGGTATAAATAATTGTCTCTTCGCTGACTTGTTTTTTTCTTTGATTTTTTTTTCTTTTTCCTCTCTATTTTTTTTTTTTTGCTGTTTCCAAAGATATTTGCAAGTCGTTCTTATAAGGCGATTCCGTTAAAATAGCTGTTTTACCTCTCTTTCGTGAATTTCTTTTTTCTGTTTGTTTTACTTTAGGAATAGGTAGAATATTTTCAGGCGATTCAATCGGAAATGTACTCGTACTTTGTTGATTATGAAGCAAAGGTAAACACTGCGGCTCATTCAAAACACCTGTAACTTGATCGGTCGTTTCCGAGTTCAAATTTTGATCATTTACGTTTACATTTACTCCAGCATCTTTTTCATTCGACGAAGTAGTCGGTACAATGTCAGTTACAATCGATGGCAAAAAATCTTCATCACTAAAAACATTATTGTTCGGAGGCCATATTCCAGTTGCTTCAAAACCTTTTATTGATGTTTTCATGGTTGCAGCATGTATGAAAGCTGCACCAAATAAAGATGAAATATTTCCTAAAGTAACTACTTTGCCCGGATTACAACGGAGCCATTTTCTAACTTCATCTTCATAGTATGTGCTCAATAGTTTCATGCATGATACGTCAAATGGCTGTAATTTATGAGAACAATGGGGAGGAAAGCATAATAAAACAACACCATTTTCTCTAGTTGCATTAATAACGGGCAGATTTTTAGTATGTGAAGAATGACCATCAAAAAGTAATAGAACTGGATCTTCTTTTGTTGCCCTCGAAAATGCAATAAATTTCATAAACCATTTAAAAAAAAGCTCAGAAGTAATCCATCCTGTTTCATGACATTCAACCCACGATTCAGATGGTAATACCGTAGAAAAATGTGGTTGATTTCTCTTTCTCGGGAAAATTAACATTGGAGGGACACACGCGCCACTAGCTGAAAAGCATATTACTGCAGTAACCGTTTCTCCAAGTTCAGCTGTTGTTAAAATACCAACCTGTCGTTTTCCTTTAGTAGCTAATACTTTTGACTGTCCTTTTGGATTTACTGTGATACCAGTTTCATCGCAATTGTATATTCTATTCGCGTTCAGCTTATATTTATCAATGCAACCAGTTAATAAATTGAAGAACTGAGTATAAGCTACTTTATTAAAACCCATAGCGCGAGCACCAGATGTGGCTCAGGTTTTTTATATGCTCAAATCTGTGTGTCTTAATAAAAAAACTATTCATCCAATCCTGACCAGCCATTCTATCAGCCTGATTAAAACGGTGAGAACAACCATTTATTTCGGCAAGTTGGAAAGCCAATTTACGAAAATCTATCATCGTTAAACCAAAAAGTATTTTTTCCATAGACTTCAAATAATCAACTAATTCTATTTCCTGCTGTTTATTAAAAACACATTTATATTTTCCGCTAGTTTTATCAATTACGAAATCGGGATTTTCTTTTTTTCTTTTTTACATACCGCTCCAGTGTTGTCTTTGGAACTGCAAATTGCTGAGCAGCTTTTTTGAAATCCATTTCTTTTACATCTTTTTGTACAACAGAAATTGCTTTAACCATACTTTCGGTTGACCATGTTTGCCTCTCCGTCTTTCGAACGTAATTACGTACCATTTCACTAAATAAAGACAAAAAACAATTATGAATAGGTACAGCAATTATTGCTATAAATAATTTAAAACCGTAAAAAAAAATGGGGCGGAATGGGCTATACATATGTATACCTCATTCTGCCCGTTATGCTATTTATATCTAACTACGATTTTTTTCCCAAAAATGAGATTATTTTCACGTAAACAAAAATAACAATCAACCATAGTGTGTTATATGGTATGTTTATAACAAAACTCAGGTTATTGAATAATATTAAATTCCACGTACCTGCAGTTAAATATCGAAGAATGTTATTAAGCGATCAACACAAAACAATGAATTGTCAATAACTGATAAAGTGTGTGCGTTTTGATGTGATACCGTTATCTATGATAACATGGAGGTAAAAGATTATTATTTCAGGCGGGACGAACCGATACGAAACGTTACGTATTGATAATAGCTGATATCCCGTTGTGCCCCGCGTCCCCATTATGCCCCGGGCACCCCTATACGAACATGCCTTTTCTGTTTATTCTGAACTAAACTAATAGCAATAGCGTGGTATTCAAAAACATTCTTGATGATTAACTAGAGTAAAATAAAAAAAAATTACGACATTTGGACCGTTGGATAGTGCTAGAACAAAGTCATTTTAGCGGAAAACGATATGCCTACTAGTAGTCGGGTCGTCATTCGAACGCCAATGCATATCCATCTAAAAGACATTGTACCATAATACTATTTACAGCAGAGATACAAAAGGCTTACACTTTGTTAAAAATTTAGAATTATTATATAATATCATTTATTTCTGTATGTGATACTAGAGTTCGGAATTTGTTTTTTTTCTTTTGGTCCTAAACAAAGTTAAATCAACATAGATTTTGATTTAGGTATACTACTTAAAAAATTCAGGACATTATATATTCTTTTTTAAGTCCATTTGTTGTGTTACTAAAGTTTTTAAAAATTTGTTCTAATTCAACTAATTCGAAATGAAAATCTGAATTTTTAGAATGCCACACACACAAACTGTATACTACAATTAAATTGGAACATAGAGCTCAGGGGCGCCGTTTGAGTGGGTTCAGGGTGTCTTTTGCGACCTATTTTTTTTCATGTATATAAATTTAGCCTGGGCTTACGAGTTACAAAATCCAAGAAATTGCCTTGGTAGGTAAATTTATGGTCTGAAGTTAACTTTAATTTCATAATATTAATAAATTTGATTTTATAGAGACGTAATAACGTATTTCTTATTAGTATTAATTAGTACTATTGATTTTTAGGTGTAATAAAATCAGAATTTAAAATTGAATATTCTATAAACATCGGTAAGAGACTCTTGGTCTTCTTAAAATAGACTAATTATTGATGGTGGTGCCCTGCATAGCGATTCATTCCAATTTCCAGGAAATATCCAAATACAGTATAAAAATAAATATGAGACGACCCGACGAGTTTCGATGACTTGTTCTTCATGATTCGGTTTTGCTCTGCAAGAGAAATTGGAAAATCCAGTGGGAGTTATTGTCAATTTTTATTGACGGCAGTACTTTCTCTTAGACGCATCTATGACTATTATCTTTATGATTAATGATTGCATAGTGTTAACTGTTCAATAAAATATATGTATTCAATTCTTTTATTATATTAATGATGGAAAAAGTTAATGAAAATAAAAGGAAAAGTGGTGCTACTCAAATTAAAGAAAAAATAAAAAAACTCTTGCTGGTTGCCACAAACTCGTGTCAAAAATTGACAAAATGTTTGCGAAGTTCCAAACTGGCGCCAATAATAAAAGTAAGTTAAAAGTTAAATAATAAATTAAAATCCTATTATATTATGATCATTATTATAAACCTAACTGTAAATTTAAAACTAATAAATATAATCAAAATGAAATGTGGCATATGCATGCATAGCAATTGGTTAATTACTAATTATTTATTATCTATGGGTAAATTATATTGAATTATAACCTTTTATCTTAATTGTAGTATAATATGTACTAGGTTATTTAATATTTTTTTTTTTCTTGTCTAAAGTCTCATTGCTTATACCATATCACCAGATATGGTTTTATACACTTATATTTAATACAGGATTTAATATAAGATTTTTTGGATTTTATTATTTCGATCTATACATTATGAATCAAATTAAATTACTTCGGTTCTGGTAAAATTAATAATTAATTTTTTTTCAGGCCACTAGTATAGGTATAGTATGCAAAGATAAAGATTGAAACGTGAACAGGGCCGGAGGACCAGGCTTACGGGGGAGGCGAGGTGTGCCCAGGCACCAGGCCCCGCGCTTTCGAAGGCCCCTCGCTTTGCACCTTTACCTTATATAAGAAATGGGGGCGCTAAAGGATGGTGGTAGCTTGCTCGTAGCCCTCCCTGCATACGTTAGTCCGCTAAAATCCACGAGATCAAGCAAATAACTAACGTATCAATACCACCACTAGACTCTGATGCCCAGCATTTCAAATCATCATCAGCAAACGGTATTATATGAATGGCTAGACACAATGAATCTGGAACTTGTCTTCAGTATAAAGGACAAGGGAACTTTTCGATCAGCAAGGTGACTGAAGGAGTACACGCCAGATCTGAGCATAATATCGAGACCTCCAAATGATAGTAAGCAAATGGAATCATTGATTTTCCTCGCAGCCAGCATAGACCGGTGGTCTTAGAGTATGGCCTAAAAATACCAATAATTAGATCAAACCCGAAAACCAAGATGGAATTTCAGGAAAGCCAATGGACTGAATTTGCCCAGGAACTAGATCATCTAATACAATGGATCCCAGCAAAGGTAGAGTGTATGAACGATTGTGGGAGCGATAAAACTAATAGCGAAAAAGCACATTCCTAGGGGCTTAAGGAAGCAGTTCAGTCCAGGCTGGGGACAAACGTGTAATTGAACTATATGCGGAGTTTCAAAGGTCAAAAGATAATAACGTTGCGGATGAATTAATTAACAACTTAGACTCAAAAAGAAAACAATGATGGCGTGAAAAGACAGAAAATCTAGACTTTACCCACTACACCCATAAAGCATTGAGTCTAATGAAAAAATTAGGCACCTCGAATAATACCACGAAAGGTCAGCATACCTTAAGACCAAATAGTGTAGCAGCAGCCAGATTAAAAAGCGTTGGAAAACTTTCAGTAGACAAAGAGCATAAACGATTCACTAAAACAGAATTAAGAAACCAACAGGAAAAATGCTAATGCCGCATCCAACACTGGACGCTGCTTTCACACAAAATGATGTAAGCAACGCAATAAAGAATACCAGAATAAACAAAGCTGCGGGTTTCGATTTAATATATTCTGAGTTTTTTAAATTCGCAGGTCCGAGAACTCATACCTGGCTAACTATGTTTTATAATGATATTATAGATACTGCAAAACTACCAAAACACTATAAAAGACCGAAGGTGATTGCGTTATTAAAACCCAGGAAAGACGGACACGAAGCCGCAGATTACCGTCCTATATCATTACCGAGCGTTACGTTTAAGATCTTAGAAAGAATAATATAAGAACGTATACAACCATATATTGAAGACGTGATGGCAATAGAGCAGGCTGGATTTAGGGAATACCGAGGATGTGAGGAGCAAGTGCTAACGCTCACAACCCTAATAGAGTCTGGATTACAAAAGGAAATTTAAAACTAGTGTAGAGTTCATCGATCTGTCAGCGGCGTATGACACAGTATGGAGAGACGGTCTTTTGAATAAGTTCGCCAAGGTCATCCCATGCAAGAAATTATTCACACTCCTAGATAGAATGATCACGAACCGTCGCTTCAAAGTATTTCTGGGTAATAAGGAAAGCAATTGGCGCACAGTACTTTATGGTCTTCCTCAGGTACTTGGTACTTGCCCCAACTCTTTTTAACTTATTTATAGATGACCTACCTGTAACGAAATGGCTTAAGTTCCAATACACGGATGATATTGCTATTGCTTATCAAAGCATTGATTTAGAGGATGGTGGGAAAGCACTTACTGAAGACCTCAGTACTATGGACAAATACTTCTCCAAATGGCGCTTAAAACCAAACCCTGCCAAGACTGAAGTGTGTGCTTTTCACCTAAACAACGAAAAGGCTAGAGAAGAGTTGAAAGTTACATTTCAAGGAGTACAATTAAAGCACAACTTCACGCCGAAATACTTGGGAATAACGTTGGATCGTACTCTTTCATTTAAAGAACATCTTGACAGAACTGGAAAGAAAGTACGATCCAGAGTCAATCTAATTCAAAAACTCGCTGGTACAGGATGATTTGCTGACGCTAAAACACTACGGACAGCCGCACTGGCGCTAACATACAGTACAGCTGAATACGGCTCCCAAGTGTGGTGCAATAGTGCACATGTAAAAAAAGTCGACACACAATTGCATAGCGTAATGAGAGTGATTAGCATTGTTATATTACATTATATATATTTATAAAACCTTAATCTTTCAATCTAAATTTAATTAAATTATGTTTTTATGTTTATGTTACATTTTATTTTATTGTTTAATCTTTCTATAAATGATGATCTGTTAAGCCATACGAATAAATAAATAAATTTCTAAACAATAATAACTAGCCAATGTCACCTGTTATATTACTTTTAAAATGATTTTGTTTTCAAACACAGTTCTTAAATTTCGTTTAGCTCAAATGGTTTATTAATCAAGTAATTATGTCCGAATCATTTAAGAGAAATGAATTTAAGAATGAATGAGTGTGTCTGAATTAAAAATGTTCAAATGTTATCTGTTAGAAAATTTAAATGTTCGAATATTAGTTTTATTTTGGAATGAACAAAATGTAATTTTTCGGTATAAAAATGAATTATTTTTATCATTATTTATAATTCAACTATACAATTAAACATGATATTATAATACACTACACAATCGGTCAATCGGTAGAACAATTTATTATATCATTATATTTGTGACTACATTCACAAATTTCACAAATTCTTGTACAGAATTGGTCAGTTTAAAAATATAAGGGAAGATGAGTTACTTAAACATTGTCAAGATTTACAAATAACACTAACAGATGGTGAATCCAGAGCAGCTGATTTATGCAATGAATTGATAATTTTTCGCACCATGGTAAACGAAAATATTACTGCCCTTCAAGCTCTTGAGATTCTTTAAACATCTTGTAGTTCATTTTCTAATATAAACATTGCACTTAGAATCCTGTTGACTATTCCTGTGGAATCTGCAGGGGCAGAAAGAGCTTTTTCGAAATTGAAAATCATAAAAAACTACCTTCGCAGTACCATTTCTCAAGGCATACTTTCTGGACTAGCGACGCTTTCAATTGAAAATGATTTAGCAGAAACATTAGAATACAGCCAACTTATCGACCAATTTGAACATCAAAAGCCAGAAAAAAACATTTATTTATTTATTGTATACATTTTATTTGTTTTAAAATAGACCAGTAATATTGTTAAAATTATTTTCTAATGTTCTTTCTTTGTTTAATATTGTATGTATAAAAAAAGAATTTTATTGTTATTTATTTAACATACTATTGAACCTATAGAATAATTAAAATTGTTGGCAAGAAGCTAAGAACATTTAATGAATACGTAGTATTTACTATTTATATTGTATATAATGCAGACGTATAAGGTGTGCGCACTATTAATAAACATTGAAGTACGGTTGGTTTGAAAACTAAAAACTTGTTAGTAATAAATAATAATCAATAGCTAGTCCAGTAAGCGTAACAAATTCATGAAATCGGGGAGACTTATTCATTAAGCACATTTATTTAAACCATTATTAAGGGGACCTACTATTGACCGAGTAGTGTCCCAATAGCCATTTTGTATATTTTGTTAAGTGTTCAGGAAGAGAACTCCTTCATAAAAAAAATTATTTCGCACTAGACCCCGGAAATCCTTGAGCTGGTACTGAACGTGAATAATGTACCAGTTGAAACTACATCATAAAATGAAAATAATGAATTTCAGCTTTGTTAATTTTTTAGTTATTATACTACTTACTAATTATGATTTACTTATTATATAATATACTTGCATATTGTTAAATTGCTTACTAAACTTGTAATTACTTTTGTCTACTATAGGTACTATTGTAGTGGTTGGTACTAAATATATTTAAAAAACCTGTATAAAATATTTAACTATAATTTCATACTCAAAGTAGCCTGGTGAAAAAAGATATTTGGAATAAATTGCATTGATACCTATACCTACTAAATATTATTAGATCTATACCAAAAGGCAAACAAATAATTAATTGAATAATTTGAATTCATTAAAATATACCCTTCAAGAGCTTAACCCTATTATAACAACGACTTACACACAAGCAATATCTGTATTTGCTATTTGTAAGTGGCTTGACAAAAACAAATTGGCCTGCTTAAATTTTGGCAACCCTATTATAAAACTCAAATGACCCCCCTGATAGATCTACTTCTAGTCAATCAGACCAAACAATAAGGACTCGCGGAAAAGAATAATTTAGTTTTAGTAAATAGTTGATTGATTTTAGTTAAATAAACCATATTTTGGGTAAAGTGACTTTTCAATTAGCTACCATTTCTATTTTAATTGAAGTAAGTATAAGACGAGTTAGGTAAAAAAATCTTTGTATGACGACTACATTGAATAGTTCAATACAAATCTTACTAAACAATGTAATGAGTTTAACTAATAGTTAGACGAAAAATCAGCTATCGAATTTGGGTTGAAATAATAATTATTTGTTTATCTTTATAAGTGTTTCTCGGTTTACTATACAAACTGAAATATTACTGTTAATCTTAGAATGAATATAATATTTCTGTTCTTACTACTATATGACTGTAAAAAGTACTACGAATTTAGTCATGTGCATTATACATAATAGTTACTAATGGAACTATCTGTGTAGTAGTTGCAACTATACAACGAACTAAATGGAAAAAGTATTTATTACTAAACGAGTTGCTGTCAGTATAACAACTCTAAATCTTGGGGTAGAAGAAATGTTTAGAAATATTTCGTGCTCGCTTACTACGTCCTCAATTTATAATGAAAATGTTATGGACGTTTTGAAGATCTTCAAACAGATGTACTAGAATCCAATATGGCTTACTCTGACCTAAAGTATATCTACTCAGCATAAAGATTTAAAAGCCAAATTGTCATCTGTTTCCACTCAAATGGCTGATATAAAAGCAGATAATTCCAGGCTTCAATAGTCCAATGAGAAATTAACGTTTTGAAAGGGAAAGTGGAGAGTTAAGAAAACTCCAGCTAAGTGATGAGTAGAGGCTGGTGGTTACTCGAGTTTTAGAGGAGACTTGAAGGTGAAAAATGTAGGAGCAATTTGATCATCTACAAAGTCCACGAATCCACATCTACTTTGGTTCTACAACCCATACCAGATTAACTATAATTATCATTATATTGCCTCTTGATGGCGTCATTCATTACAAATTAAAAATAGTCCGCCTAGGTAAAGTGCCCTGTTGATTCTGCCCATGCTCTAAAGCAGTGGTTCCCAACCTTTTATAGGCGTGACCCTAACATTTAAAATTTAACTTTTTGGAGACCCAAAAAAAAAAAATCATAACTGCAAACTCAAAATTCATTGATTTATTATTATCATCAAATTGGTAAGTATGTATATTTATTATATTTTTTGATTTATCTATTTATATTTATTCTATTCTGAAATACTTAAATAAAATGTATTATATTAAAATGTATCATAAAAATTAATTTATTAATGTTTTACATTGAATTTTTACATGGAATTAATTAATTAATTTATACTTAATCTAAATGACTGTTTTGGTGCTGAAAACTTTCCACAAGTTAAATGAAGTTAAGTTAGTTATATGAAAACTATGATATGGACGCTTCAAAGGGCGCTGTGGTGATTCATATTATGAAGAAAATTAGAAATTATATACATGTTACTATATACGCTATGTATAGCACAGCCCACGCCAGACCATTTAGATAACCTATTTTAAATTATTGGTTTCCTTGATCATTTTATCATTTTATTATTAGAATATTTCGGGAATTTTTTTTTTTTTGAAAATAATAATATTAAATTTATGTAAATTAAGACGTATGTAATGATTTTGCGACCCACCATAAAAACCTCTGGGACCCAAGGTTGGGGATCGCTGCTCTATAGATTATATTTGATTGCAAATACATGGTAAATTTATTAGATAAATACATAATAAACATAACTTCCCTTACGCTGACTTAATAAAATCAGTACATCAACAACATATGGAATGGGGGTACATATTAATGAAGGTGGATAATACTCACGCCGGTTTTATTATATTTTTGTCTTTCAAAACTGACAACTCAATGCTGTTTTCGTTGAGCTTTTCGTTGCACTCTTCGATTTTCAACGTATTTTCTTTACAGAGTAAATCTTCAGCCAAATTGTAAACAAACTCCCTCAATTTCCTTATCTGCACCTTGACTTTTTCTACCAAATCTTCGAGTTGACTGTTTACAACTTTGATTAGTTCCCGTTCTTTTAACAGTTCTTTCTCGACGTCATCGAACACTAAGTCTATACCCTGTCGACAATTTCTAAAACGGAATGACAGGTAAAATATGATATAACTTTAAATTGCATTATTTTAGCAATTTCACCTAAGCCTAAGGCACTCGGCAATGGCTTCGAGCGCGTCACCGACTAGTTGTTTCTTGGCATTTTCGATTCGGGTCTGATAACCTAAAAGCAACCGAATCTCTTCATTTACCCCGTCTTTTTGTTTTTCTAGTTCTTTGCACTTGTACTCTATATCTTTTACTTTCACTTTTGACTGATGGTCGATCTCTAGCTTATTTTTTCCCACAGCGTCTTTAGCTTGATCGACTAACCGGTCAGCTTCAAGTGTCAACCTTTGGGCCAACTCCTGTTGTTCTTCGGATGCCATAATTTCCAGTTCACCCCTATGCCGCCATTCTGCAGGCGTATGGTAATCAGAACTCTTAATTTTGTAATCATTTTTACAGTTCATATTTATTATAATAATCAACAACAAAAAATAAGAGTTGAATTCATGTCACTTTTTATTACTCGTTAAAGAAACACATTTGTGAATAAACAGTACACTATACAAGTTACTATAGTTATAACAATAGTCCTATTAATATTAGGAATTTAAAAAGAAACAATATAAATAAATATTTACTAATCCGGATAATAAAAAAGCGGGTAAGTGGATGTCGCTCTGCTGTACAGTTGGTTATAAGTGGGTCAAGGTATAATGGATTGTATTAAACTTGAATTCAATATTTTTTTTTTTTTTACAATGATATTTCATTGTATAAGAAAAACGATTCTAAGAAGAGACGGTTTATCAGTCTAGGTTTTAGAATTTGAGTGGAACGATGAATGTATTGATTTTACAATGATGTGTTTTTTTATATTTTTTTTTTTTTGTCTCTGTTATCATCTTTTAGGACAGTAAAAGTGCTTACATTTTCTTCAACAGTATCTTTTCTGAAAGGAAAGTGAATCAAGTTGGTACTTGAGTTCTCAAAAGTAGTTAGCTAGTAGTTTTCAAAAGCGCCTTGAAAACCTAAAGAAAAATGGGAATTTGTTGCAAAATCTGTTTTCGAAAAAATCTATTTTGTTTTTTGGTGCTACTCTTGAACAAACGAAAGTAGTAAAATAACATTTTGACTGAATGTTTATATCAGCATTTTCTATACACCATAATATTTTCCAAATATTTTATTATTTTGAGCTGTTTCCGGACAATTTCAGTTTCCGTTTTTTATAGTTTTTTTTCTATAAATATCAATCAAATTTTATTTGTTGGTTAAAAAAAGCTTGATAATTTAATAGAAGGCTCCTAGTATATTGTTTTAAAGGCAGATGAAAAAATTAAAAATCCAGTCACAATTTTTTTTTTTTATAAGCATTTGAAGTTCAAATTATTATTCTCGTATGGTTTAATCCAACACTAACACTTATTAAAAAATTAGTTAATACTGTGGTGAGCCACCGGCCTCACCACATGGCTCCCTCCCTGCCGGTCGCGCCCCGTACGTTGGCAACACCGCTCGGCCCTCCGCGTCGTCCGCGACCGCGAAGTGTCGGGCGGCTGCCAACGGGCTCTGGTCCCGTAACCGTCAACCGACGTACACGACGGCACAGTCCGTCCCGCCGCCATGTTTCGACGCCGTCCAAAAACGGCCGCACAATAACGCACGTGTCCGCGTTTCGTCGTCCCGTATAATAAACCACGTCAGCACGCCCGCAAGCACGCCGCCGCTACCACTGGTACGCTCACGGCACCCCGAGGCACGACTTTGGTTTATTCCTACGACGACGCCGCGCTCCCCGACTTGTCGACTAGACCCGTGTGTCAGTCACGCGTTAAGTACTCGCGCCTTTCGACCATCTCGCGACCGGCTCAACAATAACAATGCTGTAATCTGTACTCAGTAAATAAATAATAAACGTATCCACCTACACCTGAGTTCGAGTTTATTATTCAGCGTATGTTGGCTGCGGGTAACAACCCACATCACCCGTACGCCACATTGGTGACCTCTTCAAAAACGAACACGCACCCCGAACACGTGCTCCAACACCGCGTAAGTCGCGCACGCCGAACACGCGCTCCAACACCGCGTAAGTCACGCACGCCGAACACAATGACAGCTCAGACAGACCAGCAACACGGCTTCTCCGGCGCTCCGGATCAGGTACTCAGCCGAGCACACATGGTTGCGCTCAATACCTCGACTCCTCAGGCCAGTTCCGTCCGAGTTCTCTCCATGCCGCACACGCTGTTCATCGTGCAGGCAAGAACTCGCGTTCACCACCGGTCGGACGCTCCGACCCCGCGACCTCCATCGCTCAAAGAGCAGATTCGTCGCACGCCGCCTCCGCCGCCGGACATCACTCGTCTCTGTCATCGTTCTCAACTCTCAAACTAAACCAACCAGCATCAATCAACTCCAGCTATCAATACGCCAAATTCAAAATTCATCTTCAAGCCAAATCGCCCGTCAACTTCGACTCATTCTGTCAACTTCAATGCAACTTCGATTCATCTTCCGCCGACTTCAGTTTTCAACTCTCATCCACTGCAAACTCATCTCCATTCGCATCTTCAATCAACATTCATTCATCTTCCTTCAACGGCCTCTTTCGACTTTCAACATCTCAACCTCAGCTTCAAAAATATTGTAAAAAACTTGTAAATTTTTTCTCTTTTAGGGGGGGAGTAATGTGGTGAGCCACCGGCCTCACCACATGGCTCCCTCCCTGCCGGTCGCGCCCCGTACGTTGGCAACACCGCTCGGCCCTCCGCGTCGTCCGCGACCGCGAAGTGTCGGGCGGCTGCCAACGGGCTCTGGTCCCGTAACCGTCAACCGACGTACACGACGGCACAGTCCGTCCCGCCGCCATGTTTCGACGCCGTCCAAAAACGGCCGCACAATAACGCACGTGTCCGCGTTTCGTCGTCCCGTATAATAAACCACGTCAGCACGCCCGCAAGCACGCCGCCGCTACCACTGGTACGCTCACGGCACCCCGAGGCACGACTTTGGTTTATTCCTACGACGACGCCGCGCTCCCCGACTTGTCGACTAGACCCGTGTGTCAGTCACGCGTTAAGTACTCGCGCCTTTCGACCATCTCGCGACCGGCTCAACAATAACAATGCTGTAATCTGTACTCAGTAAATAAATAATAAACGTATCCACCTACACCTGAGTTCGAGTTTATTATTCAGCGTATGTTGGCTGCGGGTAACAACCCACTTCACCCGTACGCCACAATACTATAGCAACAACAATAAATATCACAATAAGAAATATAAAATATAAAATATAGATATAAAATTTTGATAGGAAAACATAAAACAGTAGAAGTAGTAGTCAGTTTAATATAATATAATATAAAAATATATAAAAGAGCAACCGGATGGTGAGTCGGGATTTTATTTGTGTGGTCTTAGACTCTAATGTCCAGATTGGTCATCCATTCTGTTGCTGCTGCTGTGACCTTGTGGAGGTGTTTCATTCCGCCTATAAAATAGTAAGTTGCGTACTGGACATTCTTCCACGATGTGATTGGCTGTCTGATTGTCGTGTCCACAATCGCATTTTGGTGTATCCTTAAGTCCCCAATTATACATCATATTTCCCGTTTTTCCGTGGCCAGTCCTAAGTCTATTTAAGGTCACCTATTCTTTTCGAGGTAGTTGGAACTCCGGGGGCCTTTCCGTAGGTTGTTCAATGATACTAAATTTGTCAGGTTTATCTAGTCTCCATTCATCAGTCAATTTAGAGTTAAGGTTATAGTTTTCCTTACTTAATTGCTGTGCCAGCTTCCATGGAAATTTACGGGATTTTAATCTTTGCTTGGGATTATTATTTATGTACCTGTGTAAAGGTAAGCTTTTATTTAATCATGATTTTTATATTCTCGGACTAAGGAACTGTATCTTCGGAGGTGAGGTGGCACTATGTTGCTCAGTACTGATAACCAGGGTACTGGTGTTGACTTAATTGTTCCGGATATTGTGCTCATTGTTGCATTAAGCTGGGTGTCTATTTTGTTTGTGTGTGAGCTGTTAAGCCATACTGGTGCACAGTACTCGGCTACCGAGTAGGTGAGGGCAAGTGCAGATATTCTAATCGTGTTAGCATCTGATCCCCAGGTAGTTTGAGCCAGCATATTAATTATTAAACTGTTTCGGGTTTTAATCTTTGCTGCCACCTTGGTTATGTGTTCTCTGTATGTCAATGTTCTGTTCAGTGTTGTTTCTAAATATGTTGGGTTAGGATTATTTCTTATTTGTTGTTTGTTAAAGATTACCTTTATTTCTTGTCTTGCCTTTCTGTTGTTGAGGTGGAACAGTGCGACCTCAGTTTTAGTTGGGTTTGGTGTGAGCCTCCAGTTGTTACAGTACTTATTTAGTTCACTTAGGTCTTCCGTGAGGTGTTTTTCACCAAGTCCATATATCTTTTCTTGGCACAAGAGGCCGATATCATCTGCGTAAATAAATTTATTTGACTTGGTATTGGGTAGGTCACTAGTGTATAAGTTGAATAGTAGGAGAGCTAAAACAGAACCTTGTGGCATCCCGTTGTTTAGGGTTTTTTGTTTACTTTTTCTATCACCTATAACTACTGTGATAAGTCTATTACTCAACATATTATTTATGATGCCACTTATTGTTTTGCATGGTATAATCCGTAGGAGTTTAGTGATAAGCCCATTGCGCCACACCGTGTCATATGCTGCTGTGAGGTCAATAAAGACTGCAGTCGATTTTAGACTTTTCTCAAAGCCGTCTTCGATGTTTGCGGTCAGAGACAGAACTTTGTCGCAGCAATTCCTATGTAGTCTGAATCCGACCTGTTCTATTGGAATAGTTTTATTCACAATTTCTGCAATACGGTTGTAAATGAGTCTTTCAAATATCTTGTAGTTAACACTCAGTAGGGAAATCGGCCGATAGCTTTTGATGTCATTGTCTGGTTTCCCCGGTTTCAAAATAGCCAGGATTTTTGTCGTCTTGAATGGCTTAGGAAACCTCCCAGACCTTAATATATTTGTGAAGAACGTTGCTAGCCATTGACGAGTCTTAGGTCCACAATTCTTTAGGAATTCTGGTTATACTTCGTCGAAACCCGCTGCTTTACCAGTTTTAATTACCTGTATTGCTATTTGAATTTCAGGTTCAGTGAAAGCGTTCTCAAAGTTTGATGTTATTTCCGCGTTCGCTTTCAGTTCTTTCAATTCCTTTTTAGTATTTCTTATGCATTTTTGTCAATTTTTGCCCTGGATAGCTCGATAATGCGATAATTATTTTCCTTGATTTTCACAGCACTATGTTTTCGTTTAGAATTTGGGTCTATTTTCCTTAGTAGATTCCATGCTTTACTACTTGACTTTTTGAAATCGATATTTTCTACTGTCTTTATCCATTTTTTCCTGCGGGTTTTAGAGAGGGAGGAGAGAAGTTCGTCAGCTATAAGGTTATCATTAGTTTCTTGGTACTCATTGTAAAGATCCTCGCTTTCTTGGCTCCAACCAGGTATATATTCTTTTCTGTATCCTCTGGGTATATATTTCTTAGCTATTCCAGTCAGAAGACCTGTAAAACGGTTGTAGTTTTTGGCTTCTGGACTTATCCATCTGATACAGTCGTCAAGCTGCTTACTAAATCCGTTCCAGTTGGTTTTATTAAAATTCCATCTGGGTTTCGGGAGTGATTTCACAACTGGGATCTGGGAACTGCAACTTTAGTCAGCACTCCTAGCTGACAGCTGTACCATAGACCATAGTCCACAATACCTACAACATCACTTATCACTTATAAGTTATCACCTATGTACTTCCCTAATATTTTATAGTGTAGGACATTTATAGTGTAGAATACTATGTTAAATAAATAGCTAATTAGTCAACAAAATAGTTTAATCACTTTCATAAATATTATATATTACAATTAATGCTTTAGAGCAATTTAATATTCTTAAAAAATATAGGTGGTGCATGTGCTCCTGTGCTCCATAGCACGAGCTGCCACTGGTCTTATACCTAGACTATATGCACTAAAAAATACTAAAATATGCAAAAAAAACGTTTGTATACAAAAATTATTATTTTATTATTATTATTTATTATATTATTTTATTATTTTAGCTTCTATTATTAAAAAAAAATTGAATAATATTACATTGGAATTATTGTACTTGATTGTATCATAAACAACTTGTGGTACTCATTTATTCTGCGATTGTTCTGTTAAAAAAAAAAAAAAAAATTATAAATTTATAATTACATATTTTTTAAATATTTTTAATCATGTATTTACCTTGAAAGTTACATTGAATAATCAGATGTTTGTAGAAGTTTTCAAATTGAAATGATCTTCGATTGTTACTGAGTAGAGTCTTGTACATTGAAAACGATCGCTCGATGTCCACTGACGTAATTGGTGCAAACTTAAAGTGTACGAGATCATCTGTAGAGAAGTCTTCAGGAAGTCCAAGTTCATATTAATACCAGATAATACATTTGAAATATTTTTTAAAACTTTGAGACCGACATTTTTGTGGGTGACATTATTGAGTTTATTAAAAACAGCTTTTCTAATATTGGTCCTTGAAGAGTTTGAAATACTTTTTCAACATTTTCAATTACATGTATAGCTTCATCTAATGGTAGTCCTTGTTCTTGTAATTTGGTAGTGGAAACTGTTAAAATTGTAAAATTGGACTTTATGTATGCCAAATATCTTTCAATGCCAGCTTTGGAAATATATTTTTTAGTCTCTTTGATGCTAACGGCGTCTAGTTTTTCAAGAATTGTACGTGTGATTTCAATGTTTTCAAATTAGTAATTTGTGGCTATGATCCACGTACTCCAACGTGTTATAATAGGCTCCGGTGGCAATTGTAAATGAGAAGCTTCATCTTTGAACAGTTGAACACGGTTTGGTGTATTTCGGAATATTTCGGAACACTAGAAATAAGTTTGTCGACATTGCTAAACTTGCCTCTTACTTCCTCTGCAACTCGGTGGAGTCCATGAGCCGTAAACGTGATATGAATCATTTTGGGATAAAATGCTTTCAATGTATTACCAGCTTTTATCGTATAGGGAGCGGCGTCGGATGTAAACAATAAAACATCCTCGTATTGAATACCAATGACTCCAATAGATTTGTCGAATACTCTGGCAATAGTCGAATAATTTGTTTTTCTAGTTGTTCTGAATGTACCAAATATTGTTTACCCGGGTAATCTGCTTCAAGTATGCCAACAATTACATTAGCAACAAATCTACCTTCTATATCGGTAGTTTCGTCAATACTAACCCAAACTTTTTTACCAGACAGTTCAAGTTTAATTTTACTCATTGTTTCGCCAAAAATGTCATCTATGTATCCAAGTCTCAAGTTTGTTTCTGTAGG